GCGTGCAAACTATTACACCAGTTCCTTCATTTCATATGCTAGCAAAGAACACTTAGGATCATCCAGTAGAGATTAGACTCCTACGTGGAAAGAGAGAAGCTAGATGTTCAAGAACAGTTCAGCACGAACCATTATTGTTGATGCATGCTGGTTAATTTAGAAAGCCAATGAATACCAGTAAGAAGCCAATACAGGTAATCCTCAACTTTGAACCATAATTGACCCTGGCAATTACAGTGATAAATCATGATGGTCATAAAGCCAACAGGGTGCGGCATCAGCCTAAAAGGCCAGTGCAATCCTAAATTGCATTAACAGAGGGATACAATCAAGATCAAGTGAGGTACTAATGCCATTCTATAAAGCCCTATTAAGACCAAACCTAGAATACTGCATCCAATTTTGGTCACCACACTATTAAAAAGATTTTGAAACTCTAGAAAAAGTGCAAAGGAGAGCAACCAAGATGATTAGGGGACTGGAAGCTAAAACAACACTGAATGGTTGCAGGAACTGGGCAGGGCTAGTCTAGTGAAGAGAAGGACCAGGGGAGGAATGATAGCAGTGTTCCAATATTTGAGGGTCTGTCACAGAGAGAAGGGGGTCAATCTGTTTTCCAAAGCATCTGAAGGCCAGACAAGGAATAATGGATGGAAACTGAACAAGGAGAGATTGGAACCTAGAAATAAGGACAACTTTTCTAACAGTGAGAACAATCAACCAATGGAACTTGGTTTCCCTTCAGAAGTTGTGGGAACTTCATCAGTGGAAGCTTTCAAGAAGAGACTGGACTGCCATCTGTCAAAAATGGTGTAGGGTCTCCTGTTTGGGTGGTGGGTTGGATTAGATGACCTACAAGGTCCCTTCCAACTACGTTAATCTGTTAAATCTGTTATGGTCATAATCAGGGGTGGGTTCTATTTACCTTTACTACCGGTTCGCAACGGGAGCGCTCGTGCGCACTCAGTTTGCTCATTCGTGCGCCCCTCTGTGTATGCGCAGATCATCAATTATAACATCTGGGTGGGTGGGCGGAGCCTCCCGCCACTTTTACTACTGGTTCTAAAGAACTGGACAGAACCGGGAGCAACCCACTGGTCATAATTCAAGGATCACCTGTATACTCTCTCCTCCTTTATATAGTACAACTTTTGCCCCAAATATATATCGAAGGAAACTAGATTGGAACCAGATCAGGGGTGGGTTTCACTTACCTTTACTACCGATTTGCAATGGGAGCGCGCACGTGCTTGCTTTGCTCACTCGCGCTTCTATGCATGCGCAGATAGTCAGTGATAACATCGGGGTAGGTGGGCGGAGCCTCCCGCCGCCATTACTACCGGTTTGGAAGAACCGGACCGAACCTGGAGCAACCCACCCCTGAACCAGATAAGTGTGGTACGGAAGAAACACCAATAAGCTGCATTATGCTAATAACATAACTCTGGTAGCTGAACATGCAAACCGTTTGTGAACTCTGGTAACAAAAGTTTAGGAACCAAGTGAAACTAAGATTAAATATAAAGGCGGCCAAATTAGTGACAAAGGCACAGCACCCATTTTTAGAATTGACAGTGAAGACACTGAAGAGCTGGAGAGATTCTACCTTTGGGATTGATGGGTGGGTGGGGGATTCTGGGAGCTGAAGCCCACCCCTCTTAAAATGGCCAAGGTTGAGGAACACTGGCCTAGGCACCCAGGCATACACAGTTTTTCTCTACATCACAGTGATGTTTGTTTATTCTAGTGCTTTTCAAGAAACAATTTGTGTTTATTTCCAATTCATGGATGCAGAGGGCTTAGTTTAATAAATTCTATTGATATTGTGACATATTTTGGTTAAGGAACTTTTTACAGTTTCTTAAACTGTCTCCTGCTATCTCTGCAAACCTGCTTTGCAAATAATGAGAGGATAAGGTTGATACCTTGAAAAATTCAGGTTCGTTAGCCACTTTTCCTGGTCAAAGAATGAAAACATAAACCAGAGTATGGACATATGCGGACAATGATGATTTTCAAGGAGAGAAAGCAGAGGTGGTATTCAGCAGGTTCTGACCAGTTCTGGAGAACCAGTAGCAGAAATTTTTAGTAGTTCGGAGAACTGGTAGTAAAAATTCTGACTGGCTCTGCCCCCATCTATTCTCTGCCTCCTCAGTTCCAGCTGATCGAGAGGAGATGGGGATTTTGCAGTAACCTTCCCCTGGAGTGGGGTGGGAATGGAGGTTTTACAGTATCCTTCCCCTGCCACGCCCATAAAGCCACACCCACAGAACTGGTAGTAAAAATTTTGAATCCCACCACTGAGAGAAAAGTATGGGGAGATTCAGTAAATGGTGTTGGTATAAAGTAGATTTAGCTAACACTTGTTTTCACAGTGTTTTTCACCTCTCAATATTTTATTTGCCTTCTCACTTCATGTATCTTCTATCCTCTGCCTAGCCTTACTTATCCTCATTTATGGATAGGTATACATATAATCTCAAAACAAGGTATGGGATAATAAAACCACAAGCCTAAAAAGTAAGCACAAAGGAAGAAAAAGATGGAAAGGGAGAGAAAAGAAGACAAAGCAGAATATTTCCTTCCATGAGTTTAGAGCTGAATTATAATTTTATTCGTTCATTCAATTTATATGCCCCCCCCCAACAAGTAACTCAACAAGAATGTAATTATTTATGGTGTTTAGTATAAAATGATTTCTTCTCCCTTGAATGGAGAGTCTGCAGTTTCTTGCGACCTAGTGTTGGAATGATTTATAATACAGGTAGTCCTCGACTTACAAGAGTTCACTCAGTGACCGTTTGAAGTTACAACGGCACTAAAAAAAGCGACCTATGACCGTTTTTCACTTAGGATTGTTGTAGCATCCCCATAGTCACGTGATCAAAATTCTTGGGAACTGACTCACATTTATGACCATTGCAGTATCCTGGGGTCACGGGATCACCCTTTTGCGACCTTCTGACAAGCAAATCCATGGGAAAACCAGAGTCCCTCCCTCAACCACCTTGTTACCAGTGGTGAAATTCAAATTTAACCCTGATCATCACTTCTTTACCCTCCTACCATTGGGAAGGAGATATAGAAGTATAGCCAGCCACACAAACAGGCTGAAGAACAGTTTTTATCTGTGGGTTGTCAGACGCCTGAATGAGAAATAACATCATAACTATGTAGTATGATGGGCTGCAGGGCTGGCGCAATGTGTAACATGTTCACACTGGTGCAATAGGACTGGGGGTTGTTAATATGATTTATTGGGTTAGGGATTTTCTGTCTTCACTGTGAGTTGTATTGTGTTGGGGGAGATGCACTGAGGGAGCTCAACCAATCTCGTTGTACATATGTTGTGCACTGACAATAAAGATTTGAATTTGAATTTCTGTAGGCATGGTTTGGTGGGCATGGCTTGGTAGGCGTGGCAGGGGAAGGATACTGCAAAATCTCCATTCCCTCCGCACTCCTGGGGGTAGGATATTGCAAAATCTCTCTGGGGCCAGCCAGAGGTGGTATTTGCCGGTTTTCCGAACTACTCAAAATTTCCATGACCGCTTCTTCAGATCCTGTCAGAACCTGCTGGATTTCACCCCTGCTTGTTACTAATTTAACAACTGCAGTGATTCACTTAACAATTCACTTAACCACAGTGGCACAGTGGTTAGTGTCAGTGGTGGGATTCAAATAATTTAACAACCGGTTCTCTGCCCTAATGATTTCTTCCAACAACCAGTTCACTAAACTGCTCAGAAAGTTAACAACCGGTTCTCCCGAAATGGTGCGAACTGGCTGAATCCCTCCACTGGTTAGAGTGCAGTAGTGCAGACTAATTCTGCTGATCACCGGCTGCCAGCAGTTTGGTAGATCGAATTTCACCAGGCTCAAGGTTGACTCAGCCTTCCATCCTTCCGAGGTAGGTAAAATGAGGAGCCAGATTGTTGGGGGGCAAGAGGCTGACTCTGTAAACCGCTTAGAGAGGGGTTTGTAAAGCACTGTGAAGCGGTATATAAGTCTAAACGCTATTTGCTATTAATAGGCTGGATTGTGAATCCAGCAATGCGCTTAACAACTGTGGTAAGAAAAGGGGCCAAATTCACTTAACCAATGTTTCACTTCGTAAGAAAAAAAAATGCTGGGCTCCATTGTGGTCGTTAAGGCGAGGACTACCCAGAAGGATGGGGTTGGGGGATGGGGGCAATCGACGGGCCCTCTTTCCCCGTTGCTGAACTACAACTCCCAGCATCCCTCGTGCCAGAAGTCATAAATCCAGCATCATTTGGAAGTCCACGGCTTTCGCTCGCTTCCTTTCCCTACCGACCCCAATTTTTGGGGGCAACTTCTAAATTACGGTTTTAGGGACGTTTCATCCATTTTCCAAGGTGGGAACGGGTGGGTAAAAAAAACAACACCCCCCTAGTCCCCAGCATTTCGCAATTTCACCCTGGGAGGAGGAGGAAAAAAAAAAGAAAGCCAGGCTTTAAGGCACTTGGCAAATAATAATAATAATAATAATAAAAAAAAAGCTGCCTTCGGATCTTGCAGCAAGGATGGCGCTTCAGAGAGAGAGAGAGAGAGAGAGAGAGAGAGAGAGAGAGAGAGCGAATGGATTTAGCCAAGGATTTCTGATCCACCCGGGCGGCGATCGCATCTGATCCCCGGCGACGGAAGGAGAGTCTCGGGCGTGTCACCCCGCCTGGAAAAAACATCCCCAAGCATCCCCGCGTTCCCTCCCGTCTTTTCGGACCGATCAAAGTGGACCGCTCTTACGGAGGTGGCGAGGGCGGAGTGGGGGATAAAGGAAACAGCCCGGCATGAATGAAAAGCCAAGGAATGAATGAATGAATTAGAACCCCGGAGGCGGCGGGGGGAGGAGCGCGCCACCCGCAGGAACAGCCGAGGGCGGGGGAAGAAGGGGGGGGGGGAGAGAGAGCGAGAGAGAGACGCTGGTCACGGGGTGGGGACAAACGAGGAGAAGGAAGGAGCCGCCGTCGCTATTGGCGGCCGCCGCTGCCCGTCAGAGCCCCCCCCATCACCACTCCAACCCTGGACGCTCCACTTCCTGCCGCTCAGCGGAGCCCCCGAGGAAGTGGCCCACGCCGGGCTGAGGCCACCGCCGCCCAAAGCGCTGGAGGAGCATCTAAGCTTGCTCCCCCCCATTCCTTCCCTCTCCCGGCTCTGCATTCCCGGCTTCTTCTCCATCTCCTCGTCCAGCGCATCCCTGAAGCCGGCTCCGCCATGGCCTGGCTCTGGAAGCGCGGGGGGTGAGCGGACAAGGGGTCTCCAGGAGCCCCGACGCCCGGCTTCCCACCCCCCACTCGCCCCCCCCCCCAACCCACTCCCCAAAAGCGGGGCACGCAGCCAGGTAAGTAAAAGCCTGGGTGGGGGGGGGGTGAGTGGTAGTTTGGACTTCAATTCCCATCATTCCCTAAGAATGGGGTGGGGTGGGTAATCAGAAGGGAGGTTTGCTGGTGTTGGGGAGTTACTTAGGCTGGATTTGCCAAAAATTCCGGCCATTGGATGTTTCTAGACTCCGGATTTGATCGCCATATGTGTCCCCCCTCCCCACCCCATCCATCCTCCCTCCCTCCTTCCCCGCCTTGGATCTTAGCCGGACGTTGCTTGGCATACATGCTCTCTCTGCCTGTATCAAGGGATAATACAGGGATATAATACAAGGGATATAATCTCTCTCTCTCCCCCCCCCCCACATATACACGCCTTTCCCATCCCCCAAGCACACCCAGTTGTGTATTTCTGGGGTTCCAAGGCCTGCTGCGCCCCCCCCTCCCCTTTTTCAGGGAAGGGATCTGGGTCAGTAGTTGGGAGAAGCAGAAGTGGGGGAGGGAGGGAGGGGGGAGGGAAGGCTGGAGTGGGGTGCCTGGAGGTTTATTATTGGGGGCGAGGAGAGGGAGGAGATCTGGGAGGAGGAGGAGGAACCATGGGGGGACTTGGAGGGGTGGTGTGGCGGTGGAGATGGAAGGAGCAAAAGCCCAGTTCTGGTGGTGGGGGGCTGCTTTTTAAGGTGGGGCAGCCCTGGGAAGAAGTCTTAGGAGGAGAGGTGGGTCCTTGAAGTCATAAGGACTGGAAAGTTAAAAAAAAAAATTAAATTAAAATGGGGAGGGTGGGGTGTCTGTGAAACAGTCATGAGATGGAATTGGGAGGCGAGAAAAGGGGGTCGAAGTGGGGGGGGGTTCTGGAAAACTAGGATGGTATAATGCAGTGCAGGACCTGGAAAATAATATTTGCATCATCTTCGAGCGAGTTTCTTGCAGTTGTGGCATAGATGGAGCTTAATGGATTAATTACGAAAAGATAAGCATCCGGTGAGTGCGTTTGAGACGGGCGAGTTATTGTCGTTCTAGGCTGGCTTTTTGTACAAGCCTTGCTAATGGCCTCTGGTTTTCTTCAGTGGTTTCTCTTTTCCTTTAATAGTGATCCTGAGCAACCAAGCGCCGTGAATTCTTGCAACAGCCTTACTGGGATGGCATTGATCAACCCCATTTTATCGACTCTGAAAATCCTATTTGGAAGACCAATTTGTCTTGGCTTACCTGGGATTTTAAACCTAAGGCTCTTGAATTTTGACAGACGTGTCTAATGTGGAAGATTTTGGAACTGTGTTGTGTAGTGGCTAGACATGCCTGGAAAGATAGAGTGTTGTGCGATTCTAAAATTAAAGCAGTGTGTATGGGCTTCACTGTACTACTTTGGAGTCTCTTGCAACATCCGGCATTAGAAGGGGCAATTGGTTAAAAAAATACCCTCCCAGTAAAAATATCCATAGCAATCATGAGGGAGTAGTAAAAATACTTTTCTAACAATAATGAGAAAGTAATAAGAACCCTTGTTATTACTTACATGCCACTTTTGGGGTGAATTTGAAGTATTCTGTCTGGTTTTGTGTTTCAGCTGCCTTTACCAAGATCCTTACTAGATTAGAATAGGATTACTATAAAGGTGGGGGGAAATCTAAGACTACTAGTTCAAGGATTGCTCAAGACTGCTTCTGAGGAAGAATGTAAGATTTTTACACATGAGTAAGCGTGTTGCAAGACTTGCATTAAGGCCCTCCTGGGTTTTCCGGTGGGCTGGATGTCTTTCCGAGACGAACAAATGAGGAAGGTAGCTGGAGAGCCAATTTGGTATAAGGATTAAGACACCAGGCTAGAAACTCAGGGAGTCCATGAGTTCTTATTAGGCTTATATGCCGCCCTATCTCCAATGGACTCAGGGCGGCTCACAACAATAAAACCACAATAATCTATCATGCAAAGTTAAAATGCCTAATTAGATCAAATACTATTAAAAACCCGTAAAAAAAACCCCCATCAGTCCAGGCCAGGGGACTTGAATAACCAAGTTTTTAATTCGTGGCGAAAGGTGCGAAGGTCAAGGGCCAGCCGAAGCCCCAAAGGGAGTTGATTCCAGAGGGTGGGTGCGCCCACAGAGAAGGCTCTATCCCTGCGGGCCGCCTGCCGACATTGTCTCGCCGACGGCACCCTGAGCAGGCCCTTCCTATGGGCGCGAGCCGGGCGATGGGATGTTGTTGCTGGCTGCAGGTGGTCCGCCAAATATCCTGGGCCTAAGCTATGTAGGGCTTTATAGGTCATCACCAACACCTTGAATCTCACCCGGAGGGCAACCGTCAACCAATGCAGGCCACGCAGGAGGGGTGTTACATGGGAGTATCGGGATTCTCCCATCACAACCTATGCGGCTGCATTTTGCACCAGCTGAAGCCTCCGAGTGGTCCTCAAGGGCAGCCCCATGTAGAGAGTGTTACAGTAGTCAATACGGGAGGTGACTAGCACATGAGTAACTGTGCGTAGGGCATCCTGGTCCAAATTCTAGTCTTGTCTTAGGCACAAAGTCAGCGGGATGACCTTGGGCTAAATCGTTCTTTCAATTACTAGTACTTCCGAAAATGTTGCCAAGAAAACTGCAGGGACTTGTCCAGGCAGTTTGCAGGAGTCAACAGTGACTCGAAGGCATTGAAAAAAAAAAATCTAGATGGGTGATACAGAAGAGAAAGCATGTATAGACCCGTGTTGTTCAACCATGGCTGGCTGAGGAACTCTGGGAGTTGAAGTCCCCCTATCTTAAGGCCACGGAGTTCATTTATGTAGGAGATGAGCACAGGTAAATCCTTGACTTACGACTACAATTGAGCCCAAAATTTCTGTTGCTAAGTGAGGTATTTGTTAAGTGGGTTTTGCCACATTTTACGATCTTTCTTGCCGTAGTTGTTAAGTGAATCCCTGCAGTTAACAACATGGCTGTTAAGTGAATCTGGCTGCCCTATTGATTTTGCTTGTCAGAAGGCTGCAAAAGGTAACCCCCGGGACACTTCAACTGTCATAAATATGAACCAGTGGCCAAGCCTCCGAATTTTGATCACGTGACTATGGAGATGCTTCAATGGTCGTAAGTATGAAAAACGACCATAAGTCAATTTTTCCAGTGCCGTTGTAACTTTGAATGAACTGTTGTAAATCGAGGACTACCTCTATACTTTCCACTATTTGGAATATAAAGTTTTAAATGAGGACATGGAATCCTCCACTTAACAACCATTTGTTTAGTGACAGTTCCTCGCGTTTACAACCGTCGCAGCATCCCAGGGTTACGTGATCATCCTTTGAGACCTTCCAGATAGTTTCTGACAAGCAAAATCGATGGAGAAAGCTGGATTCACTTAACAACTCTAATGATTAGCTTAACCATCATGGTTAACAAAAAAGGTATAAAATCAAGCAAGACTCATTTAATAATTATCTTGTTTAGCAATCGAAATTCTGTTTCCGATTATAGCTGTAAATTGAGGATTATAATGGCCTTTCTACTGCTCTTAGGTAGACACAATTAAATTCACTTTTCCTTTTGAAGTTGCAATGGAAAGTCAGTAGAATATGGCATCTGTTGCACAGCAATGGGCAATAACCCTTCGGCAAAATTTCAAGATTATAATTTAAATTTGTGCAGCTGACTATTCCAAATGGCTCTAAATGCTATTCTCGATTAGACAACTTGATGATATTCGTGCATTACGATCAGTCATTTTTAATTAAGTTCTGATGAATAAACCATAATAGACCAGATTCTCACAGCATGTAATACTTCATATAACTTTTAAACCATAATGGGGTTTGCTTGGATATGGCTGAGTATGTGACTTATAAACCATTTTAATAGCCTGGTTTGATGCAGTCTGTTAGCTGAGGCAAACATGGGTTTTTAAATTAAGATTGAGCAAACTGTAAGTCGGTATAGTGTGCCTTTAGTCATTAATTAAAACCATGGTGGCCTAATAAGCTATCCTTGCTGATTCCATTCCTCTTAGTAAACTACAAGAGGTGAGGAAATGTTTCTGAACCTTACGGGACGATCTATAATCTGGAATGCGATCAGAATGTTACCTAAGTGACTGGCTCAGGATCAATAGATGGAGATACAATTAACAAATAAAAGCAGTATTCCAAACAGTGTAGCTGGGTCATGTCCTTATTGAGCATGTTAAGCAAATATTCAGTGTGTCTGGAAAAAGAATATGGAACCAGGTCACACAATGATCCTAACACACACAAATAGATCAGTAGAATGACCTAAGTAGAAGAAATTTTACATTTTGGAACCTCAGTTATTATGGCTTAAGTTATCACAGCACTGTGGATCATGGATAGTTGTAGAGAATTCACAAACTTTCATCCCTGTAATGGTGGGAACTGGGTTTCCTTCTGGTAGTTTTCTGATAGAGTAGTACTTCGGTTCATAATAACAATCAGAATTCTCTGCTTGAAATGAAACTCTGGAATGGTGGTTAGAATAGAGAGCTAGTTTGGTCTAGTGCATGTCAAACCTGAGTCGTCACGTTGCCGTCACGTGACATATTGTGACATTTCCCCCCTTCGTGGAGCTGGGGTGGGCGTGGCCTGCGCATGACGAATCCGGCCTACGGGCTGCCAGTTTGACACCCCTGGTCTAGTGGTTAAGGTTCTAGGCTAGAAACCAGGTGACTGTGAGTTCTAGTCCTGCTTTAGGCATAAAAGGCAGCTGGATGACTTTGGGCCAATCATTCTCGGCCCAGCCCACTTCACTTCACCATTTTTATTATTGTATGAGTGATTGTGCTGGGAAAAAATAGAGAAAGAAGGAGTAGGAGATACGTCTATCACTTTAAATTACTTCTAAAGTAATAAAGGTGGGATAAAAATCAAACAATAGGGGCAAACAGCACGTCACCTCAGTCATTCCTCTGTTCTGGAAATGGAGTTGGAGTTTAATCAGATTTAGAGGGTGTCATATTACTTATCTAGGCCTTAGAACAGTGATGGCTAACCTTTTTGCCGTCGTGTGCCGAAAGTG